GACACATATACATAGTAAAACTGTTAGTTTTTAAAAGGCAAAGGAATGTTAGACACTATTCTGATACGAGGTACCATTGGGGCTGGGGTGGCATCAGGGAGGATTACCATGGTATTGGTCAGGTGGCAGTTTTTAAGTTGAGTGCTGGTTCTCTTGGTGCTTTATTATTGTGCTTTGTTACCTCCATAAATTACCTATATTTTTTGTATGTATATTACATAATTTACATTTTTAAATCTTAACTTTTATTCCGTAGTACTGTAGCCCTACATGTTGGCCAAAGGTCTGGACCTGGTCTGAAATTTCAAATGATATAGAGTGAGACAAAAAGAAAGAATAGGGTTAGTTTTATAAAGCTAAATTAAAATTTTAAGGATTGCATGTATTCTTCCATTATGTCCTTTTTTAAAAAAATTGGTGTTAGAAGGACCTTTAGGAATCAAATCATAAAATCAAAGAGCATAGTTTGTTATCTTGTTTTACTGTACTTACAAATAGTAAACAGAGAAAGTAGGTGACCTTGTGTAAGGTCACCACCATTAAACATATTTTCACTAGCCCTTGAAATGAAAAATTCTAGCAGTTATTGCCTCGGAGAACACAGCACTGTATCCATTAGCCAAACACCATGGCTGATGATACTCAATATGGTGATTTCACTTACTGCCCTTTTCACAGAACGAATCTCTAATTAAAAAAGCTAATTTAGCAGAAGTTAATCAGCCCTATCTACAGAGTCATGAATAAATTTGAATTAGTCAGCAACAATATACTCTAAGCTCAGAGGAACCAGATTCTCAAATATCAGCTAATGATAATTATAAGTAACATTTATTGAGCACTTCCTTTACCATTGACTATTTTGTATAGATTGCCATACATAATCTTCAGAAATGTTATTATTCCCATTTAACTGGTAACTGGAAATTTGACTAATATCTTACTCAGCATCACATTAAGTAAGAGGAAAGGGAGCTGGAATCCGAAACCAGCTTGGCAGTTTGACACTTCATCAACACTCTTAACTACCACTTAATTGTTTACCACAGGTGGCAGCACTGTTGAAAAGCCAAATGCTAGAGGCTGCAAAATAGGTAGTGAGCATAGGTAGTGAGCACTGAATTCAGAGCTCAGACTTCGTGAACTCTCTGAAATTTAAGGAGTTCAGAATCACACAACTTGAAGGGGGAATACTAAGCTCATTAGAAATACTACTATTTCACCATTGTGGTCTTCAAATGCATGTGTGGGTAAGTGGCCTAATTGTGCTTAGTTTTTTGTATACCTATGAGACATTAACAAAATGCATTAAGTAAATTCAATTGGAGGCAAAAAATTGGGGGAGAAAACAGGAATTTCAAGCAAACTCCAGTGACTGGTGGCTGAGATACTTTGGGGAGAGTGAGGAAGGTGGTCCTACTTCTAGCTAAAAAGCATGAGGAGAGGAGAGGAATCAGAAAACAGCAGAGTGAAGGGTTTGGGTGAAAGAACTTACTAGTAAAAGCAGATGGATAGCAACCAGAGACTCATGGGGCAGAGAAGGATATAGAAAAAGCAGAAGTTCAGTGCTTCAAGATAATATCTTGGTAGAGGAGAAATGAGAAAATGCACATATAAAGCAATGAGTTCTAATTCACATTATAATAAAATGAAGGCTTTGAACTACTATTCTTCTGTTTTCTCATTTGTAAATTATCTCTCCCTTTACATGTATCTGTAAGCATTTGCCAGAATTCCTTCTTATTCATACACTAGAGCAGTGGTTTTCAACCTTCTGGCCCTTTAAATACAGTTCCTCATGTTGTGACCCAACCATAAAATTATTTTCGTTGCTACTTCATAACTGTAATGTTGCTACTGTTATGAATCATAATGTAAATATCTGATATGCAGGATGGTCTTAGGCGACCCCTGTGAAAGGGTCGTTCGACTGCCAAAGGGGTCGAGACCCACAGGTTGAGAACCGCTGCACTAGAGGCCTGGTGCATGAATTTGTGCACCAGTGGGGTCCCTCAGTCTGGCCTGTGCCCTCTCACAATCCGGGACCCCTCAGGGGATGTAGTAGTACATACAGCTAGGGAGGAAGCCGAGCCCAGGCAGGTGCTGCGCAGCTCCCGCTCATCTCGGCCCTGCAGTGCCTGCCTTTACTGCCACTCGGTAGTGCTGCTGCGGAGGCGGGAGAGGCTTGTGTCGCAGCACCTGCTCTCGCCAGCTGTGAGCCTGGCCTCTGGTGCCTGTTGGTCAGCTGAGCAGCGCTCCCGCTGTGGGAGCGCACTGACTACCAGGGGGCAGCTCCTGTGTTGAACGTCTGCCCCCTGGTGGTCAGTGTGCATCATAGCTACTGGTTGACAGGTCGCTTAGGCTTTTATATATAGATGTTGACTCCCAGCATTTTGAAATCCTTATCCTTAAGAATATCATGCAATTTCTCTCTTTCCTAGCAAGGTCAGGTTTCCCTTTTCTCTTGATCTTCCTGTCTTATTCTTTCCTGTCCTCCCTTCCTTCTTGTATAACAAGTCACCCAGGACAAAGTGGCATAAAACAATAATGCTCTATTATCACAGTCTTGTGAAATGACTACGTTTGACTGGGTGGTTCTCTCTCGAGGTCTCTCATGCAGTTGTAGTCAGATGGTGGCTGGAGTATGAATCATCCAAAGGTTCCACTGTATTGGACCTCTCAGGTGGCACCTTTCCACATGTCTGGTGCCTCAGCTAAGGCTTCCTAGACTGACTGGGCTCTTCCCTCCCTCTCCTCTCCCCTTTCCTTTATCTCTCCATGCACCGCACAGCTTCTCTACATGGTTAGCTTGGGCTTCCTCACAGCATGGAAGTTCCAGAGTAGCTGGACTTGGTACATTGTGGCTATCTCTCCTCACTCAAGCATTCCAAGAAACATAAATGGAAGAAAGTTTAAAACTTACATCCTAGCATAGAAAATCACTCAGCACCACCGTTGCTGCATTTTGTTGGTCCAAAGATGGTCACAGGGCCAGCCCAGAGCAGGGAGACCACCCAAGGCTATGAATACAGGGAGGTGGTGCATCTCTCCAAAGACTAGCTACCACATTTCTCATTTATTGACATCTCTGTCCCTTTCTCTCCTCCTTAACTGAAATATCTTATTACTATCTTCTATCTTGCTTTACTATCTATATTTTTCTTTCTAATTGTTTATATTAAGAGCAATTGAAAGACTTCTTTTAGAAATTCTTAAGCATTCTCTTTCAAGTGAATCTTAAAAATATTTTTTTATTTAGTGACATTAAAATTTAAGCACCCAAAAGGCCCTTAGAAAAGCTGTGCGACTATTTTTTAGAAAGTCTCTTTGGGAAATCAGATTCGATTCCCTTTTTAACCACTGATGATAACATATCAAACTTAAAAGGCAGATCAGTTTTAGGGGAAAGTGATACACCATCATGTGTGGGTGGCCTCGGGTGAACTCCCCAACAATATTGCTTTTCATGCTTAGCCACTAATTAGAAAACCTGCTCTCTTGTTGGGACTAAACTATGGTTTACTTTCTGGTTAGACCTTTTTTTACTTATATTCAAGCTCTTACATAAGCCAAAGCTTGTCCTTTTATTAACCCCAAAAATTAAAGAAAAAAGAGAGAGAGAGATAACTTGAATCTAAAGGATTTGTTGCATAGTCACAGGGCAATTTCAAAAATTCTTTATTTAAAACCTCATACCTACAGATGGCTTACCTTTCCTTAGCTTCTGCAAATGCCATCAAGGTCTTAGGTTCTTATAAAGAGTTATTAGCTTTTTTTAAAGAAGCTAAATCTCCAAAGCTTTTCTCTGGTGATTATGGAGAACAACACACGTGGGAGAAAGTGGGCAGTCAGAGGTGGCAAATAATTTGATTTTTTTTTCTACCCACAAGCCCTTGGGAAAACCTTGTCATAAAGGATTACTTTGCTCATGAGATTTTACTGTGTTGCCATTCAGAAAAGAACTCACAGGAACAGCAGGGCAGACGGTTTCTGAACTCTGGGGAGAGAGCGGGGGTTCATGGTGCGGGGGAGGGGGCGCTCCATTTTTCTTTATAAGGATCACGGGTTAAGCATCTGAGGTTGATACCATTTTTCTCACACAGACTCCACTCAGACATCTGAAAGCTGACTGAAAATGATAATTAGTAGTTGCAGTTTTTCATAATTTGGCTTCTCTTCAAGCAGGGAAAAGATTTCATTAAAAAAAAAACACACACACAAACAGGTTTTAGACTCCATCCTTTCCCAATGTGAAGAAACAGCATTGGAAAATAGCAAGTTGCCCCATTAGTGATTGGCTTCCTCATCTTTGTTTTCATACTTTGGTTCTATGTGCAGATCAAACGGAGACTCCAGCCGTTCACAGCGCGCAGGGTCCACCTGTGCAGGGAGGGCAGTGAACTTTATCAGAGCAGCATTTTCCATGAAGCTTTACCCTAAACCCTTCAACAAAAACTTCCAGTGAGCAGCAGGCACAACTTGTGGACACGTGGAGCTTCAGGCCTAGACAAATGCGTTGCTCACTGTCCTCCCCACAGCACGATCGCTACCTAAGGCAGGCTCAGGGCTACCCCTGTCCTGTCCACTGCTGATGGTCTGAGGGGCAGAGCCGCAGGAAGGCGGGGTGGCGGGTGGTGAGCGGGGATCAGGGTCAGGATCACCTGATGCGTTATTGTTTTCTTAATTCTCACAACTTCCCTGTGAAGAAGCCATGAGTTTAAATAACTTGCTTTCATGCAACTTAGTGAGACTAAGTATTTAAAGTATTTAAATGAAAGAAAATGTAAGCATTTTATTTAATCCTTGGGTAAAATGAAGGATTTTAATCCCAGTCTGCCTGACAGCCTAGCCAATGTTCTCTCCATCACCCCAATCCTCTATGAGCCATTGGTAACCTGTAATCCACTTATGAATTAAAATGGGAGACTTTCTTTTGAGCTGAGCCTGTGGCACCTAGTCAAGTAACAATAGTTGTCACTCTCTCTTGTTTAATCTTATAGTGGAGTACGACAAGGAGTTCTCCCCTCGCCAGCGACACCACAAAGAGTTCAAGTTCAACTTATCCCAGATTCCTGAGGGTGAGGCGGTGACGGCTGCAGAATTCCGAATCTACAAGGACTGTGTTGTGGGGAGTTTTAAAAACCAAACTTTTCTTATCAGCATTTATCAAGTCTTACAGGAGCATCAGCACAGGTATGAAGGCTCAAGGAAGCCCAAGGGTGGGGCTGGTCCCCGTGTCTCACCCTGTCATCATATAACTTCGAGTATGTCTGTGGTAGGTGATCCGAGTTCAGGGCTTGTCCATGAGCATGACGAGGGGCGTGTTCTAAATGGTAGTGTTTAGCCAGCAGGAAGATTTTTTGCTGTTAAGTTGAAGACTTTCCAAATGGTTTTCCTTTCTTAAGTAAGCCACTACATGGTATTTACTAAGCATCCTTTGTGATCGGAAAACATATGACTTATTGGGCATAAAATATTTCCCACTGTTGTTTAGTCCCTACATTGAATGATGGGGGAGGATGCCTAAAATAAATACACGTATGAAAATTATGTAAAGATGCTTACAAATGATACTAATTCGAGTGAAAAAAAGGCTACGTATTTGTGCATACACATATATTATACATATGCATGATATGTCTTTGAGTAAATGTGTGTGTGTGTGTGTGTGAGAGAGAGAGAGAGAGAGAGAGAGAGAGAGAGAGAGAGAGAAAGAGAAATGTATTTTTTATCATTTGGATACAGGGAACAATGGATTTTTTTCCCCCTGTGTCTGCATTACTCTGATTTCCTCAAGTGAGGCCAAGTCATTTAATAAAATAACTACAAATACATTCATGGGCCTTCCTAGCAATAAAAAAAAAGACTTCCATGGAGTGATATTTAGAGGAAGGGCTGAAGAGTGAAGTGTTACAGCAGTTAGTTCAAACCTATAGCACACAGAAAACAAGCCAATGACCTTGAATTTTGCTTCCTATTTAGGGGTCAGTTTAGTAGTTTGGGGAGGGTGGAGTGCTGATGTACAGTAGATTAGCGATGCTGTAGACTCCTCAGTGTGCATGAGGTGGGACCAGCATGTGACAGCCTGGCAATCAGATACGAAGATAAAAGTGGAAGGAAGAGAATGCAGATGGGTAGGGAACCCCACACTTACAGGCTGTATGAGGGACTTGCTAGCTTTGGCTTTATAAACCAAGTGCACATTCTTGCTCCAGTTCTTGGAGCTCTATTGACTTCCTAAGAGTGTCCAAAGGTTTAGGAAAAGACTTTAATTTATCCTGAAATTGTAAGTCTGTGTGTGGATCTGTCACAAATACGCACACCAAAATAATAACAAATGTTAACTTGCCCCATAAAAGGTTTATTTTAGTTTTGAGAACACCATTCAACATTTGGCCCTAATGCATATTCAAATCTCTAAGGAGGGAAATAAATAAGGAAGAAGGAAGGATGCTTGCCAGGTTTGGAGGACCATCATGGTGTTGAACATACACACTGATGGCTGTATGTGAATTCTTGCTGGAATGGTTAAATAATAAGTAAAATATAGTCATTGTGGCCTCTTTATGACTAACCAAAATTTCAGAATGAATGGGAAGTTTGTTGATGTCTTATTTTCATTCCTAAATAAAAGCATACTCGATGACTTAACTCCTAAGGGCCTCTTTTGAAAAGTAAATTACTTGTTGCTAGATTTTCATCTTTTGATACTTCAGGGAGAATTGGTGTTCAGTGAGTCTTTGGAACTGCTTGAGCCATTGATTTTCAACCTGCCTCATTATCTGTCCCATTATATTTTTCTGGTGGAAATAACCTCCTGGTACCTTTTTGGCTCAGAACTTTGTCAGAATACATGGCGTTCTCTGGCCTCCAGGAAAAGCTTTATAGTGAAAACACTAGATTGTGGGTTTTGTGACTATAAAATTCTTTTTTAATTATTATTTTTAAAAAGAGAGCTAGCAGACCATTTGTAAGGTTTATATTGAACTTCAGCCAAAAATGAGCAGCTGCCTTGTGCTTCAGATGGTGGTGTCATACCTCCTCAGGGCCAGCAGTGAGTTTGGAAAACAAAATCCCCAACTGCCCCAACCTTTGATGACTCTGACAAAGTGGAGTTGCAGTTTCTCTGCCTTCTAGGATGGAGATATTTTGTGACTGGGTGTGCTTAGTTTTTATGTATAGGAAAAGGGAAGATACTGGGGAAATTGGGAGAATTTCATGCTTTTGAAGGGTTCCGGTTGGCCGGGAGGATATTTTCTTTTCTTGTGGGTGGGCCAGGGGCCAGGCCTCCTGCTGTCCCCTCATGTTCTTGCAGGGACCTCAGAGTTAAGCCTATGACTGGGGTGTCTTGGCCGAAAACAATTCTCCAGGCTTGTAAAGAAACTTATTTGTCTAATCTGTGTTCCAGTGAAATTTGTAGTACTTATGGATTAACTTACTTTACCAAGTGTGTGTGTTGCAAAATAGTTGGCCTCCTTGCAAAAGAAAAAAGAAAGGCAGGTGTTTCAATGCCCTCATATACACAGCTGAGGCAGAATAAGCCATGTGTTGGGCCGCCTGGTATAAAGGGCAGCTAGGAGGGCCGTCTCAGGGAGGGTCAGGGAAGATTCTTGGAAGCTAGGTCATTGCTGTGATCACTACAGAAACATATTCCTCAGACTGATAAGAAATCATTAAACCAGGTAAGTTAAGAAGGGGATTACTTGGCTAGATGGTGCTTTGAGTAAGAACAGGGAAACATGTGATACTTTATTCAAAACCTGAGATGGAATCTAAGTCCTGAAAAGGTCTGAGCAACCCATAGAGCAGAGTGGGATCAACCACCCAGGAGAGTGACAGCTAAACCAGAGGAGTCCAGGGCGCCTTTGTACTTGGTTTTGTAAATGTGCCCTGTGCTACGGTGTGGAGTTTGCACTTTAAGATGAGTTTGGTGTTAACATCTGGTGTTATAAATCATTATGTTTTTATGATGACACTGGTAAAAATTGGCATTTACATAGTAGTTAGAGTTTGGAAAAGACCTTCTCATATATTCCCTCATTAGGATTTAACCATGAGCCCATCAGTTAAGCAGGACAGGCATATTACCTATTAGAGAATGAAACGTGGTACATAGGAATTTTGCCAAGTCCAAATTATGTCTAAACTTGTCTGCTATGCTTCCCAAAAGTCAGCCCGATGATGTGAGGACAGTCCCAAGATAAAGGTAAAATGCCAGAAAGCGGTAAGCAGTCTCCTACGGGCATGCTCCACATCTCCATCTCCTTGGCTTGATGGGAACATCCAAGGATGCTTCTGTTTGGATAGCAAGTGAGACAGTTCTCTTGGAGGTGAAAATGTGTCTTAGAATTCAGGCCCTGGTACATTGACTTTCAAGGCCTTCCTATGGAAAACCTTTGCAAACCTTTGTTGATCTATTGACCAAGCATTGACCTATTAGCAGCTTTTCTAGAGGAGGGGAATGAAGGGGAAGAAAGACTAGAATAAATGTATACAGAAGTATTTGTACTTATTCACAGTATTATACATTTGTCCATTTACTTCACCGTTGTCTTCTGCATCTCACACACACTAAGCTGACTTCAAACCTAGATACTCTGAATAATGTTGACCTTTCCTACTCATACATAGTAGCATCATGGTAGCATGCTGCTTGTCATAAGATGTATCATGATCTTTACTTCAATGGCACCTTTAGATTCATAGGGCAATTCTGAGGCCTTTAAAAAATATCACATTGGTGTACATTTCTTATTTGGCTAAACGACATACATTTACTGGTTTTAATTGGTTTTGTGTACTTAGAAGTCAAAGAGCATCTCCTGAGAGCCAGCCAGAAATTTTAACAGAGGAGCACGTTCAGTGTCTGAAAGAGGGTCCTATTGGTCCATGAATTGGCCGCATTTGCCTCTGCTAGTTTTGAAATACCATGTTCTGTTCCGTTTGTTTTGGTGATTGCATTGCTTAGCAGTGATAGTCTATCTTTTGTGTATATGATAACTTTTCTTTCTTTTTTTTTTGTTTTTTTGTGTCTTACTCCTCACCCGAGGATATTTTTCCATTGATTTTTAAACAGAGTTGTAGGTGTGAGGGGAAAGACAGAGAGAGAGAAACATCGATGTGAGAGAGACACATCGATTGATCGATCCGCTGCCTCCCGCACACGCCCCAACTGGGGCTGAGGATCGAGCCTGCAACCAAGGTATCTGCCCTTGACTGGAATCGAACCTGGGACCCTTCAGTCCTTGGGCCGATGCTCTATCCACTGAGCCAAACTGGTTAGGGCTGATAACTTTTCATGCTCTATCTATGGTGCATTTAAAGAATAAATAGTTACCAAGTTTAAAATTCATTATTCCTGGTATAAGCAGTATCACAACTTATTCCTCTGTTTGCAAACAGGCAAAGTGTTTTTTTTATATATTTCTTTAACTTCGGTTCCTACAGGGTGGGGCAAAAGGAGTTTATAGTTGTGAGTATGTGAAACACAGAGTTGATTCTTCTATTACTATTTATTAATTATTGTTTTATTTTCCATACGAACAACTGTAAACCTACTTTGCTAGCGCTGTATGTTTTATCCTAATTTCAGAATCCTTAGGAAGTGAAGAAATGCATCTCTGAATCTAGGAAACAAGGCAGTGTGCTGGAGAGTTGGTTTTCAAACTGAGAAAGATTTCCTTAGGACAGCCCAGAGCCAGCCCAGGGTCCTGAAAAAAGACCAGACTGAGTTATTGCTTAAACTAAATATTTGACAAAATTCACCAATTCTGACCTATTTTGCAGATAGAATATAATTGTCCAAGGAGAGAAAATAACTGTCAAAGGGCCAATACACATTTTCAGAATGGTTAGATTTGATATGCTACTCTGAACTACTCACAGAGCTAGGCACCACAAGAATAAGTCAGGAACAGGAATGGAGATCAGGTCTGGTTTGGACATGTTTGAGTCATGGTAGGGATGCCCAGGAGGCAATGGGATATGGCAGTGCTTAGCTTAGCAGAATGAACTAAACTACAGTAGCAGATATTTGAGCTATTGAAGTTGATTAGATATACCGGCTGTGTAAGAATAGAATAACCTAATTGGTCTAGTAGCATTTATTGAAAATACATTTTGTTTTCAGTTTATTTCAGTGGTATCTTTGTCCTGAATCAGGTGATCACATATGTGTGGGTCTATTTCTGGGA